CTTTCCATTGGGCCCCATTTGATGTCCACATCAGTTGCTTCTATGGTCCAGCCGTATCCATCTGGTGATGGTGCAGAAAGGCAGTGCAACACCAATAGGTGCTAATGTAAGAAAACAGATTTACAATGCACAGAAATATGCCAATGTGAAAATATGGAAAGCACAGAATTGATGGAAACTGATAGTCATACTGGACTTGATGAAGATTACACAAAGAGCAGCTATAAAGGAGACAATGCCCAGAATATTTTGAAAAAATCAAGTGCCCCAGATTGGCTAAAAATGAATATCCCATGCAACATTTGTCACGTCACTCTATAATCTATACATTTATACACTATCACACTATGAATGAAGACGGATGTACTTATAGTTGCATTTTTGAGCTTATTCCTACAATTTTCCCTTTCCCCTTTGGTCTAAAGTTTTAGTCCCGTGGTCTGATACTTTTTCCACCCCCTGTACATGGGAGACCCAAGGACCTGCTCCAGTGCTGACAGCATCTTTATAGAATGTTGTGCTCGAGTGAACAGCCGCTCATGGGGAGAAATCTCAACACAATGAGCAGCTATGAAGGAGACAAGGCTCACCCCGAATATTTTGAAAATCAAGTGCCCCAGATTGGCTAGAAAAGCATATGCCATGCAACATTTGTTACATCACTTGATAATCTATACATTTATACACTATCACACTATGAATGAAGATGGATGCACTTGTAGTTGCATTTTCGAGCTCATTCCAACAGAACAGGTAACATTCTTTCTATTGGTTACAATTTCCCCTCTGAATTTCTCCTTTTGTCTAAATTTTTGGTCCTGTGGTCTGATACTTTTTCCAACCCCTGTACATGGGGACCCAGGGGCCTGCTCCAGAGCACACAGCGTCTTTATAAAATTTGTTAAGCTGTGAAAGTGTGAATGCAAAAAGGCTTGTCAAACAAAAACATGCTCATGTTTTAAAGCAAATTTGAAATGCACTGAACCAATGCAGCAATTCTGAGAACAATGAGATATGGATGAATATAAATTGACAATGTCAATAACTTTGATGAGGATCAGGCAGTGGATTACTGGATTGTGTTGTTTTACACGGAAAGAAAACTAATGTGCTATTAATTACTCTATAGTATATTGCATTAATTATAGTATTGTTTAAATATATATTTTATATTCACTATTAAGTATTTGATAGTTTTTGGTTTACCATCCAAATATCTTTGAAATACCATCCAAATATCTTTCACTACAGTATGTCATTATTCTGTCTTCAAAATAGAAAATTGAAGTTTGTTTCGTCCTTTATTACACGCCATAAAGATGAAATATTGTATACAAAGTTCATAATCTTGAAAGAATGCCTGGAGTTGCTAAATATCTTTGTACAAAGCCAGAAAGAAAATACGCTTTAGCCCAATAATATATGAAACTTAAAAATCGTGTTGCTCATTATGCACCTGTCAATGTTAACCCCGAGTCGGGGAAAGGGGGGGGATTTGATCAATCAGGTGGTCCCATGGGTCGGGATTTGGACTGACACTTTTTGTCTAAGTGGCCCGAGGGTGGGGATTTTTGATAGATTAACACTGATCTCAGACGAGATACTGAAGAAACCCGAGCCAATTTTTGTACAAACCAAAGACTGGGCACTAGTTCGTCACTCGCTGTCTTGCGCGTTGTTTTACAAGAAATATGTAGATTTTTGGACAAGAAATAAACACAGATAAGCCAATTAATAATTATATTAGTATCGATTTATACTCATATGTTAAAAGTTCACATTATGTACTATTTAAAACACGAGTAGGAGTGTTTTATCAAATATAAAACGCGAGGCGCAGCCGAGCGTTTTATGTCTGATAAAACACTCCTACTCGTGTTTTCAATAGCTTAAAATACGACTACAAAAGAATACTAATTAGGGCGAACAATTATATAAGAATACTGATTAGGATGAACAATTATATAATGCCACATGCAGGCATGTGTTTTATTAGCCTGTGTTCCAGTCCTTACACCGTGTTGTAGCTTCATTACACCGTGGTGTAGCTTCACGTGACATAATATGGTTGACATGATTTGCCACAAGGTATACGTATATGAATCATGAATTATTAATGACGATCTTTATATTTGTTATACTTTTAAATTATACTGCCAAATGTATTTGTGTAATTTCCCTATCACCTGATATATAGAGTGCACCAGAAACCAAATACTTCAGGAATACAATTTCATCCCGGGGGTGGGGAATTTTGCCCAGGAATTTTCTCCCGAGGGAGTGTTATTTGACATTTTTTTGTAAAAATGTCAAATCCCCACCCCTTGCCCGACGCC